TGGCGCGCTCGGACGCCTGGGTGCCTGGGCGCTGCTCTTCTTCCTGGTCACCACCCTGATCGCCTCGGCGCTCGGCGTGGGCTTGGCCTTGGTGCTGCAGCCCGGAGCCGCCTCTGTCAACATCTCTGCCATCCAACTCACAGAAACGACCCACCGTGGCAAGGAGGTGCTGGATTCTTTCCTGGATCTTGTGAGGTCAGACGTCCCCTCCCCGCGTGGGGTGGGGTGGGCCCCCTGCTCAGAATATGGTGGACACGAGAATGAAGTGTCCCTTCCCAGGGTGGCTGTCTGGGGGCTCTGGTCACTAGAGAGAGGGAGACCAAACTCCTGGGAGGGCTTGTAAATCTGGGGACCTGGGTATATAAGCAGGACTCTGCGTGAGGGTGATAGGCAAGGAGGTCTTGGAGAAGGAAGAGTAATGTTTGGGAGCCGTGGGACATAGCCCTGTCCAGAGGCAACAGACCCTGTGGGGACAGGGAGCCCGAGGACCCCCAGCTGGACAGAAGCTTCATGCTAACCCACCCCAACAGCTGCATATCTGTGGCAGTGGGAGAGAATCTTTGGGTGTCCAGGGGCCCCGTGATAATGGGGCTTTGGGGATAAAGATGTGGGATGTGTGTCGGAGGGATTGGGACTCTTGGGTAAGGAGCTCCTGGAGGACCTGAGGGGATCTGAAGAGCTCTTTCTTCTAAGTCCCAGGACTGCCACACCACGTGTCACCCAGACACAGATGTCTCTTTCTGAGCCTTTCTTCCCTCCCAGTTCAGCTGGCCTGGCCACTTCCCTCTTCTGTCTTCTAGGTCAGCCCTGCCACCCTCGAGGGTAGCAGGTTTGATTCCTTGTACCCTCCACTCCCCATAGACGGTGGGGTTCCCCTGGCCTTCACCTTTAAGGCCTCTGACTCAGTGTCTACAGGCTGGGGACTTCCTGGAAGTCGGGGGAGGAAACTGTGAGTCATGGAACAGGGTCTTCCCACCCTGGGGACATTCATGTGGCGAGACGGGAGATGTGCGGGGCTGCTCTCCGCGTTTGCAGCGGGTGATACCTCCTGGCCGGGTGAGATTAGCTGGAAACCGGTGGGCACACCCACTCTGGGCTGTTTGTTTATGAGCACCAGTTCCTTACGCCCCTCACACGTGGCCGGCCACAGTCACTCAGCCTTCTAGCCAACGGACCCGCAGCTGGACACAGCACCCAGAGGCACTTAGACACGTGGCCTTACAGCAGCTGTTACACACACACACACACACACACACACACACATACACACACACACACTGTGTGCTAACACCCTTTAGGGGTGTCCAGTGGTGCCGCCTGCCTCAGGAATGCCTGAGCCCACCCTTAATGCTCAGGTCTGGTGCACACCCATGAGACCACCCATGTCACGCTGCTCCACCACACAGCCTGGCCGTGCTGGCACTGCCCGTGTCTGATCTTACCCTGGTCTTTGGGAAAGGAAGGATGCAGGGAGTGAGGACTCCAAGGTAGCTTCAAATCCCAGCTCTGTCGCTTCCTAACTGGGCCTTTGTTTGTTGCCCTTGTGTGCCTCAGTTTCCCTTTTTGTGAAATATGGTGTAGTGTTGGTCCCCAGGCCGCTGTGAGGATAGAATAAGTTAGGGTGACTGCAGCCTCGCTGGAACAGGACTGGACCTCTTTGGCTGCTCCTACTTCTCCTGGCAGTGGCAGGACCCACTGCAAGTGCATGTGCATATTCATGTCACACTGGGCCTCCCCTGCTGTCCCCTCTTGGCCTCTCACTTCCGCTTTCTTTCTTCTTTTTTGGGGGGTGGTACTGGGGATCAAACTCAGGCCTTTGCACTTGCAGGGCAGGTGGCAAAACCACTGAGTCAAATCCCCAGGACCTCACTTCCACTTTCTAACACGCCCAGATCCTCCTGAATCACACCCTTCCCTGTGCCAGGGCCCCTCAAAGACCAGCCCTTTTCTCAGTCCTCCAGGAAGTAGCTGATGCAATACAGCCCGGGTGTTAAATTTGCTGCATGGGTGGAGCTAAGGCCGGGGTGACCCTTCTCTGAGGCCCAGCATTCTTTACTTCCAGCCCACAATCCCCTGGGCCCGGAGTGCCAGCCCTTCAGGGGCCAGAGGAGGCCAGCTCAGACTCCCCCGCTGGAAGGTGTGCAAGCCATTCCAACTGTGTGTCTGAGCCCTGGCAGGACATGTGTGTGTGTGTGTGGTCATATTTCACATTTGGGTGCTGATGGGGCCTCAAAAGATCCCTGCACTCCCCTCCAGGAGGCCAATCTACCCCCAGCCAATGCGCTCCTGTCCTCCCCAACCACAGTTGTGTTTAATAACTTCCTTGTCTGTTTCTACAGAAACATCTTTCCCTCCAACCTGGTGTCTGCAGCCTTCCGCTCAGTAAGTCCTCAGAGGTGTTCCCTGGTGGTCATGGGGGACAGGAAAGGAGACAGCCCCTTGTAGCCTTGCCACCACCCTTTGTGCCGTGCCTGGGAGAATGCACATGGCCACACGTTACATGTGATTTTCTGGGGTTCTTGGGCAGCCCGGCACTTTCCCCACGCGGGGAGGGAACATGGGCTTGGAGCCTCTTGTGGGTTTTCATTCTAGCTGTGTGACAAGTGGTTGGCCATTTGGCTTTGCCACTGAGCTGTGGTTTCTACCTCCAGGAAATGGGGTGCTAAGAGACCTGTTATGGTGACGGGGGGAAGTCGGCTTAGGGCAGGCTCTGAGCACGTTGCCCTGGGGGGACGAGGGGCTCGTGACAGTTGACCCTGACTCTTCCCATCCTGCCTGCAGTACACCACCACCTATGAAGATGGACATTTCAACCACACCAAGGTGAAGGTGAGTGCAAGGGGCTGTGGGATCAGGATCCTATTGTGGTTTTCTGGTCTTTATCTGCCTTCTGGGTCTTCTATCAGGTGTGGAATTTGATGTAAACTCTGTGATCTTTGGCGCTTTGCAGCCTTTTGCACCTGCTACATGCACCCCAACCTGGCAACCAGGGGGTCTTCCCACAGCGTAAGTCTGACTGGCTGTGCCCCCGCCGGAGCCTGTTGGGAGACTCAGGCTGCTTGCCGCCGTCCATGCACGATGCGTCCCTACAGGGTCGGACCCCAGCCTCTCTCCCCCAGCCTCATTTCACAGCTGCTCTGTTCAACTTTTTCTCCAGCTGCCATGGACTTCTAGTTTGTTTTTTGAGACAGGGTCTCACTGTGTAGCCCAGGCTGGCTGGCTGTGGTGATCCTTCTGCCTCAGCCTCTCAGGCATGTGCCACCATGCCCAGTTTCTTTACATTCTTTGAATGCACAGCTCGGGCTCATTTCTTGGCTGTTGAACATTATTTCCTGCCTGGAAACTTCTACTGCTCCTCTTTACCTGGTTTACCTCTCCTGTCTTCAACTCAGGTGCCTGTTACTTTAGTTAGCCTTCTCTGAGGCCCCTTGCTCCCCAGGCTGGTACCTCTCTCACTACCCTCCCTCGCCGGGGCTCCCCAGTTCCTGCTCTCTCAGTGACCCCTGGTGACATCTGTTTCCCCTGGACGCAGAGTGATCTGGTCTGTCCTGGCTCTGCTGGGTCTTGGTAGTGCCTGGGACGAGCTCTCTGTGGCCGGGCAGCCGGACTACGTGACCCTCCTTCCCCCCCCGCATCTGTTTCTCACCAAAGGTGGGTAAGGAAGAGGATGGCATGAACATCCTGGGCCTGGTGGTGTTTGCTATCATCTTCGGTGTGGCCCTGCGGAAGCTGGGGCCCGAGGGGGAGCTGCTTATCAACTTCTTCAACTCCTTCAATGATGCCACCATGGTGCTGGTCTCTTGGATCATGTGGTAGGTGGTGGGAGACAGGTGGCGCATGTCTGTGTGGGGTCAGGGGAATCCTTATCCACTCCCTGCAGCCAGAGGGCCTGCATTCAACTCTGACAGTGACTTCCCAGCACTCGGGAGGCTGAGGCAGGAGGATTGCTGTGAGTTCGAGACCAGCCTGGGCTACATAGTGAGTTCCAGGTCAGTCTCGACTACATAGTGAGACCCTGTCTCAAAAACCAAAACAAACAAACAAACAAACTCTGCCAGTGACTATTCCCAGTTTCCTCACTTATAAGATGGCAACAGAGCTGAATTCCATGGGTGCTAAGAATCCAATGCTGGCACTTCATTGATCTTTTTGGTTTTGAACCAGGGACTGAGCCCACATCCTTCACACTGAGCTACATCCCCAGCCCTTTAAAATTAAATTAAATTAAATTAATTAATATTTTTTGGAAACAGGATATCATTAAATCTCTTAAGTTGCACAGGTTGGGCTTGAACTTGGGATCCTCATATCAGCATCCTGAATGCGGGGATTATAGGCAGGTGCTACCATGCTCAACCTTTTTTATTTTTTGGAGACAGAGTCTTGCTAGGTAGCCCAGGCTGGCCTCAGACATGCAGTCCTGGGGATGCGCTCACAAAAGGACCTCACTCGTTATGACGATTCCTCGTGATCAAAGGTTCAGTGTGTTGTAAATGCCTCATAGGTGAGAACTGTTAAGATCTGAAGCTGTGACCTTTTTCTTTTTGATGATGTGCTGAGAAGGTATTGGTCTGAGTCAGACCTGCTTCGTCACAAGCAAGTCAGCAAACAAGGGACCACACATAGTGGACGCTTCTGTCCAAATTGGGAGGGTACTCCTCAAAGTGTCGATGAAAACCCTCAGGCTTTTATCTCCTGGCTGGGAGTGGTTCCCAAACATCAGTTTGAGTTGCCCTGGGCTCCTCCTGACGCGGGGGGAGGCCGGGGAGTGGGTGAGCAGCAGTGACCGGCTCTCTGGGTGACTAGGTACGCCCCTGTGGGCATCTTGTTCCTGGTGGCCAGCAAGATCATGGAGACGAACTCAGTGCTGCTCTTCACCAGTCTTGGCAAATACATCCTGTGCTGCCTTCTGGGCCACGCCATCCACGGGCTCCTGGTCCTGCCCCTCATCTACTTCTTCTTCACACGCAAAAACCCCTATCGCTTCCTGTGGGGCATCGTGACGCCCCTGGCCACCGCCTTTGGGACCTCCTCCAGGTGCGCCTTGTTTGCCTGGGCAGGATATTTAGGCAAAGGGACGTGGATTGGGATTAGGTGTCAGAAGGCCCTGAAATTTCCTTTGGGGACAGTAAATCTGGGTACAGGGGCCGAGCTGCTGTCAGTTTCTCAAGGTCCTGGTTACCACCCCACCCCTTCCCATTTTAGGAAACTACGGCCTTAGATTCCTTCCTTCCTTAGGTATTGGAAAAGGTAGCAGTTTGTACACTCAGGGGTGTCCAGGTTACTCATTTTAGAATCGTGGCGTTTTGCAGGATCGTCAGTGCCTGTCTTTGGGCTGTGGCTGGAGAAAAGCCCGCAGCTGGGAAGGGAGCTGGGGAGATGGGCCGGCTCTGGGCGGAGTGGGCCCGGCCCGGGCTCGGCTCGCAGTGCAAGGCCCTGACTTCTGGCTTCCCTGGCAGCTCTGCCACGCTGCCGCTGATGATGAAGAGCGTGGAGGAGAACAACGGCGTGGCCAAGCATATCAGCCGCTTCATCCTGCCCATCGGCGCCACCGTCAACATGGACGGGGCGGCGCTCTTCCAGTGTGTGGCCGCCGTGTTCATCGCGCAGCTCAACCAGCAGCCTCTGGACTGGGTGAAGATCATCACCATCCTGTGAGCGCCCGAAGACCCCTGGGCCCATCTGGCCCCTCTCCTCCCAGCACTGCGGCTGTCTCTGACCTCGGCTCCCCTCTCCCCCCTCTCCCCCGCAGCATCACGGCCACGGCGTCCAGTGTGGGGGCGGCTGGCATCCCCATGGGCGGGGTCCTCACCCTGGCCATCATCCTCGAAGCCATCAGCCTCCCTGTCAAAGACATCTCCTTGATCCTGGCGATAGACTGGCTGGTGTGAGTGTGGGCTTGGGGGACGGGGCCCCCCGGGAAAGCTGGGCCAGTGTCTTTGGGCACCTGTCTAGGCAGAAGAGGAGAGGCAGGAAGAGCTCCAGAGGGAGAGTCGGCATCTGTGGGGCTCTGAGAGGAACCTCAGAAAGGCAGTAAGCCCACGCGGCGCACAGAAGTGGTGCTTAGGCCCGGGAGACCCTACCTCGAATAACAAAACAAAAACGTGAGAGCTCAGTGGTAGAACACTTGCCTGGCATTCATGAGGTCTGCGTTTGATCCACAGGAAGAAAGTATAAAAATTAGAAACCAGTTCCACTTCAAAAGTAAATATGAAGGCCGGGGATTTAGCTCAGTGGTTCCGCCGCCTGCCTCGCAAGCACAAGGACCCGAGTTCGATCCCCGGTACCAAAATAAAAAAAAGTAAATATGAAGGCCGGGGATTTAGCTCAGTGGTTCCGCCGCCTGCCTCGCAAGCACAAGGACCCGAGTTCGATCCCCGGTACCAAAATAAAAAAAAGTAAATATGAAACTCAGCCCAGTGGCACAGTGGTCTGCAATCACAAGCATTAGAGAGGCTGAGGCAGGAGGATCCCAAATTTGAGGTCTGCCTGGGCGGTTTAGGGAGACCCTGTCTTGAAACGTAGTGATTCCAACAAGAGAGGCAGGAGGGAGACATGGGCCCTTCGCTTATCTCCCTTCTCATTTTCCTTCCTGCCCATTGTACCCTTTTAGAGACCGGTTCTGTACCATCATCAACGTGGAGGGTGATGCTTTTGGGGCTGGACTCCTCCAAAGCTATGTGGAACGTTCAAAGCTGCAGAGCTCGGAGCCCCAGCTGATCCAGGTGAAAAGTGAGGTGCCCCTGGATCCACTGCCGGCCACCCCAGAGGAAGGGAACCCCCTCCTCAAAAGTCGTCACGGCCCTGCGGGGGGTGCTGCCCCCGGTGAGAAGGAGTCAGTCATGTGAAGCCCGGGAGGGACGGTCTTTGCCTGCTGGGGCCACGCTGGACATGAGCTTCATGAGGGTCGGGTGACAGACAAGCTGGGGCTGGGTGGGGGCTGTGCACTCCCGGGAGCCGGGGGTCTGTTCCCCTCCGGGACAGCAGATGGGGTGCTGTGCGTGCTGTCTCCCCACGTTTTCAGCACCTGTCTCCCTCCCAAGGTGGTAATGTCTCCCCCCACCCCAGAGCCAGCTGGCCCCTCATCTCAGGGTACAGGAGAGTCACCCCATGGTGTCTGACCCCCTCTGAAGGGGATGGTCTGGCGGATGCTGACTGGTGGCTGAGGGGCATGGTGGAGTGGATGCCTGTCTGGCGGTGGCCGTGGCTGCGTCACGATGTGTGTCTGTTGGGACCACCTAACTCTCCAGCACGTCCCATCTTGTGCTCAGGCCTCGTGACCCTCCCCAGTAGCAAACACTCCCAGGAGCCCTGGGGCCAAGGAGAAACACTGTTACTCCAGAGGACATTTTTAGCAATAAAATTGGGTGTTGAGTATGTTTAATTAGGTGTTTTAAAAATTTACCTAAGGGCCGGGGACTTAGCTCAGTGGCCTCACACACCTGCTTTGGATGCTCAAGATTCCGAGTTCGATCTCTGGTACTGGGAAAAAAAAAAAAAAGAATTTATCTAAAAACATGAGCCACGACAACAAAAATGTGTGATTCATTGGAAGAAAATCTATGCATCAAAACCCACCACTGGGTCAGGCACAGCTGTGCACGCTTGTAAATCCCAGTTCCTTCCTAGCAGAGGCAAAAGGATCACAAGTTCAAGGGCAGCCCACGCAACTCAGTGAGACTTTGTGGCTGGGGTGTTGCGTCAGGGTAGCACGCCCCTGCGTTTGATCCTGAATACCACCACCAACAGCGACACCTCACTACTGGAAAACCACAAGGAAATACTGCTCGCTGTACACATTGGCAAAAACAAGGCCTGTGGTTGTGAAGGAAGGTAGGATACTGAATACAGAGGGCAGTGTGGGGCAGCTGGACTCAACTCCATGAGAAATGGAAATTGGTTTATACAAAAACCAGTATACAGGCTAGGCATGATGGCACATGCCTGTAATCCCAGCACTTGAGAGGCTGAGGCAGGAGGATCTCAGAGTTCAAGGCCAGCCTGTGCTACAAAATGAGACCCTCTTTCTAAAAAAAAAGAAACCTGTTCACAAATGTTTATTATAGATTTGGAGATGAAGTGTATTGGGGATTGAACTCTGGGGCTTCTCAATGAGCTACATTCCTAGCCACTCCCCTTTTAAAAAAACTTTTGAGACAGAGTCTTACTAGGTTGCCCACGTTGGGCTCAAACCTAAGTTCTTCTTGCTTCAGCCTCCTAGAATGCTGGGATTATAGATGTGCCCAATTTAGACTTTTTAATTAACAAAGTAATCGTACATAGTTACAAGGTGCAGTGTGATGTTTCAGTACATGGTATGTAATGTGTCATCAGCATAATATTTATCTCCTCGGACCTAAATCATTTCTTTGTGTCGGGAACATTCAGAATCCTGTGTTATGGTTTAGTCCCGTTTTTTGATGGTGTGGACCATGGGAGTGCTGAGTATGGGGATGGATTGACTTCATCCCGGGAGTCCCCCCGCCCCGAAGACCTGCAGTTAGTGGTTGGGGCCTGGTTGGAGGTGGGTGGCTGGGGGCGTGGCCTAAACAAGGCGTTCTGGTCTCTCCCTCCCTGTCCCCCGTCCCAGCTTCCAGCTGCCTGCACCAGACCCTTCACCGAGCCATTTCTACCTTGGGGCCTTGAACTGAGCCCTGAGCCAAAATACACTTCTTTTCTTTAAGTTGTGGTCACTGGGTGCCATGTCCAGCAGGGGATAGCTGACCGATACAATTAGCTACTGAAATATTTGGTGCCGGGAGAACATTAGGAGTTACTTCAATCCAGAGATGCATATCTCTTTATCTGTTAACCACCCTTGCTCCATCCTCCCTTTGGTGGGCTCTGGTAATCTGCAAATGATTCCAGCTGCTCTGTGCATGACTGCCAACATCTGGGAACGAATCAGGTGGAAAAGCTGGCAGCTTCATACAATGATGACGGCAGGGCGGAGGGAACAGGACTAATACATGCTGTGACCTGGATGAGTCTCTCCGAGAAACTGTAGAAAGAAGCCAGGCACAGTGGTGCAGGCCTGTAATCCCAGAAGTAAGAAGGCTGAGGCAGGAGGATCGCCCTGGGTTCAAGGCCAGCCTGAACTATAGAGTGAGACCTTGTCTTAAACAAAACAAAACTTTTTGTTGTTGAAAGAAGTCAAAGCTAAGAGTGTACAGTGTGTAACTACCATTTACATGAAGGTCTAGAGAATACGTGAAATTGGTCTCTGGTGAGAAATCAAAGGGTAGTGATGCCGGGGTCCAGCCTCAGCGAGAGTTCAGGTCCTGAGGAGGAAGGTTGGAGTTGGTGCTTGTGAAGGAATGAGACACAGTCTGTAGGTATGAGGTGCTGTGCCTTCCAAACAGTGGAGGACGTCTTCATTCATACCACGTAGTAAAGGTTACACGCGGAAATCGGCATATGTTTACAATTTCTAGATTAAAAACTTTTAAGATCACATACCTATTTTATTATTGTTATTTCTGGGAACATTTTATCTGTTGCCTCCGCTATTATTAATCAAACAATTTCCTAGTAAAGGCGTAAATGAAAGCAAAATCAAAAGAACAGTCCAAGCTTGCCACCATTTTTCAAAGTTCAAACGTCTATTTGGGCTAAAATGCAAAGACTGCAGCCAACTCTTAGCAGGTCACTAGGTTTTAATAAAGAACTACTGTGGTTCTTAACTTCTTAGTTAAACTTTTATTTTATATAGTCAGAAAGCAAGTATTTTGCACTTACTAAGCCTTTCTATAATAACTATTCCGCTGCCTGGCAATAGTATTTACTTGTTCTTTAGTGTGTAGTCATCACTGCGTTCCTGAACATTTCACTCTTTCTGCAAAGGGCAAATCTTGACATCTTACTCACTTTTTATCTTTCCACACCATTCTAACTTCATGTATGTAAGCCCTAGTGTAGGAAACAGGTGGGGGGGTGTCTAGTGGCCATGAGATCACTCTACCACAAACCTTTGGGCACCTCTCTGGGATTTTTATAAGTAATTGGACACTTGAAAGAAAGCTGGGGGACTCTTGTCAGAGTGAAATCCTCAATTTTTGAAAAACTGGACACCCCTTCAAAGAAAGTCCCTGGATCAGGGGTCGCGCTTAGGGGTTCAATGACCGAGAAAATAGACACATATTTCTCAGAAGTAGCTTGTACAGGTTTTTTCTTCTTTCTTTCTTTCTTTCTTTCTTTCTTTCTTTCTTTCTTTCTTTCTTTCTTTCTTTCTTTCTTTCTTTCTTTCTCTCTTTCTCTCTTTCTCTCTTTCTCTCTCTCTCTCTCTTTCTTTCTTTCTTTCTTCTTTCTTTCTTTCTTTCTTTCTTTCTTTCTTTCTTTCTTTCTTTCTTTCTTTCTTTCTTGCTAAGAGCTCAGGGGTCTTGAACTCACAATGATCCTCCTGCCTCAGGCTCCAGAGTGCTGGGATTACAGGCACGCGCCACCACGCCCGGCCGAAAGGTTTTTTCATTAAAGCCAAATTTCCCGTAATTACAATTAAGCCAATCAAAAGTGCAAGCAAAAATAAAAGGCGGAGCGATGCCTTCAACCTGAGGCCCGTCATTACTGGAAATTTGTCAAGCAGCAATAGAGGAACCGTGGGCCTCACCATAGTAAGCCACCATGCATACTGACTGGACAGGAGAGAACCTTCTGGAAGAAAGTAAGCCTTGTATTATGTTTATATGAGTAGTGATTACACAGCAGTTTGTATTCGGAAAAATTACAGAACCTGTACTCTTAAGATTGGTGCTTTGAGGCCAGGGATTTAGCTCAGTGGTACCATGCCTGCCTTGCAAGTGCAAGGTTCTGAGTTCATGTAGCTTAATGATACATCTTTTTTTTTTTTTTTTTTAGCTTGCCTGAGTTCCTAGTCCCATCTCTGGACTGCCAAAAAAATTTTTTTAAAAGATATGTATAATTCAAGCCACACATGGTAATGCCTGCAATCCCTCATTCTGAGAGGCTGAGGCAGGAGGGTGGCAAGCCCAGCCTGGGCAATTTACTGACTTGATAAGACCCTATCTCAAAAAATAAAAGAGCAGGAATGTAGCTCAAATTGAAGGTCCTGAGTTCAATTCCCAGCATTGAAAACAAACAAACAAACAAACTTGTACAAATCATGGCAAATGCATTTCCCATTGTAACCACCTACATAGGATGTAAGTGTTCCTTGGTATCCGGTATATCATGATTTAAATAGCCCCAGTGTGATGACTTGCTTTTTCTAAGAAAACCCCGCATCCGCTATTTGAATCGAAAACCTGGGGCTGGGGGTGTAGCTCAGTGGCGCAGTGACTGCCTCGCAAGTGCATGGTCTGGAGTTCCATCCCCTGTTCTGAAGAGAGAAAAAAAAAAAAAAAGAAGAAGAAAGAAAACCTGATGTGGGGCCGGGGATTTGGCTCAGTGGTTCCGCTGTCTGCTGCGTCGTGGAAGTGTAAATCCTGTTCCACGCTGATGCTATCTTCCTGCCCTTCTGAGGTCCCACAGTCGACCCGAGGCACCACCAGCAGGATCAATAGTAGATGTATCTGGGTTTATCTTCAGCATCCTCTTGGTTCAGTTATACCTGGTGATCACTGTAGAATGGAAGGGAAACAGAGTTCATATCAGATTCTGGGCAACTAATGAGCACATGTTGATTAAGTAGGTAGTTGGTGTTTTAAATGCTCTCTGCTACATCATAATCCTTGGTGGGTTAGGATAGGGGTTTGAGTGTCTTCATATCAGGGGAAGTTGGTTAGGGTTTTTGGATGAGGCTAGGATAGCATTACAGTCAGATGTGGTGACTCACAGCTATAATCCCAGCACTCTGGGAGGCTGAGGCAGGAGGATTACAAGTTGGATCCCAGTCTGGGCAATTTAGTGACTTAGCATACTCTGTGTCAAAATTTAAAAATAAAATTTAAAAGGGCTGAGGAGTAGTTCATTGAGAAGATTTGATAATCTCTAGTAACACACATACGTACATACACATGCACAAAAGAAAGTACTTTATGTAAAAAATTGCTAATTTTTTTCTGGTACTGGAAATTGAACCCAGGAGTACTTTACCACTGAGCTACATCCACAACCCTTTTTTATTTTTTAATTTGAGACAGGATCTCACTAAATTTCCCAGGAGGGTGATCCTTCTGCCTCAGCCTCCCCAGTAGCTAAGATTACAGGCATGTATCACTGAGCCTGCTAGCTTCTTCATTTAAAAAGTTTGCTGGACACATGTTGCTACTTTGTTTATTTTGTTTTTGTTTTGTTTTGTTTTGAGACAGTGTCTCATTATGTAGTTGAGTCTGACCTGGAAGTCACTATGTAGCCCAGGCTGGTCTCGAACTCCCAGTGATCCTCCTGCCTCAGCCTCCCGAGTGCTGGGATTACAGGTGTGCGCCACCATGCCCAGCTGCTACTTTGTTTAAAATATGGCTCTAGACTGTAGAAAAGTTAGAACCATTTCTGATTTTCACTATATAAACTTAAGTAATCTATAGACATAGCCCCTAAATTCGGTGAATAATCATAGTGAACATTTACTGATAACTTTTATTGTGATTATTGTGCACATTTCTTTTTCTAAACAGGTCACTGCAGTGGTTCCAATTATTTTCATCTCCTTCTTTTACCTGGGGTAGACTTGAACTTGAGACCTTCCTTCCTCACCCTCCTCAGTGGCTGGAATTACAAATGTGCCTCTATGCCCAGCTGGAAAACAACTTAAGATCAATGGTCTTAAACATTTTCAAAAACCAGTGGACCAGACCGGGGATTTAGCTCAGTGGTTCTGCCACCTGCCTCGCAAGTGCAAGGTCCTATGTTCAATTCCCAGTGCCAAAAAGACAAAACAAAAAACCCCAAAAGCAGTGGACTGGCTAGTCATGGTGACGCAGACCTGTAATCCCAGCACTTGGGAAGTTGAGGCAGAAGGATCGCCTAGAGTTCGAGGCCAGCCTGGGCTACATAGTGAGTTCAAGGACAGCCTCAACTGCCTAGTGTGACCCTGTTTCAAAACACAAACAGTGGACTGTCTTGAAACGAGATCTGTGCAGGTGTCTGTGACAGGTGAAAATGGTGGCTTTAATGGAAGGAGAGGGTTAGGAGTCCCCTGTGCCACCTCCTCTAGAGACTGGTCCTCAAAATCCGAATCCTCCAGTGTGTCCCCTGTGCCTTGCAGCTGGAAGAGCTGGACACCAGCAAGGCCTGGCCCTTGGTGTCACCAGGCAATGAAGCCATCAGAGAGCTTGGGACTTCTGGTTCTCCTGGAGTTGGCTCCAGCCTGGTGTTGGGGGCCCCAGGGCTGTCAAGGTGGCAGAAGCAGGGCTGGCACGTGGGGCCTCACGGGCCATTTTATTTTCTTCCCTCCTGGCATTCCCTATTCCCTACTCTGGCATTCCTGTCTTACATTCTGGCTATCAGCAGCCCCATTTTCTCTGCACTCAAAAGAATCCACAAGCTGGGAGTGGCGGCAAAGACCTGTAATCCCAGCACTCAGGAGGCTGAGGCAGGAGGATTGCTGAGAGTTTGAGGGCAGCCCAGGCTACATTGAGGGTTCAAGGGCAGCCTGGGATATGTAGCAAGATCCTATCAAAACACAAAGCCCAAGGGCTGGAGATGTAGCTCAGTGGTTCCGCCTCCTGCCTCGAAAGTGCAAGGTCCTGAGTTCTATCCCTGGTACCAAAGAAAAAGATATTAGCCAGGCACTGTGGCGCTTGCCTACAACCTCAGTACTTGGGAGGCAGAGGCAGGAAGACTATACATTTGAGACCAGCCTGGTGAATACAGTGACTTAGTGAGATCCCGTCTCAAAATGAAAATAAATAATGGCTGGGGATATAGCTCAGTGTGAAGGCCTTGGGCAGTCTTTAGTATGGGGAAAAAAAAAAAGAATAGTAATTTATAATATGCATTCAATGTGTGAATCTGTGGGCCACCTCCTCAGAACCCAACATGGTAGAAACACACTCTGTTGGCGTCTGATTGCCAGGAGCTGACTGCAACATGATTTTCCAACATGGCAGATAATCCTTGGCCGAGTTTCTAACCAGATAGAAGCTTCCTTATTTTGCATGGTGGTTTCACTTCCTGGAAAATTCAACGGTTGTTAAATCCTCACAAAAAACACTTTGTGTTTACTGGAGTGAGCTGGATTGGGAGCTCAGGTAATTATTACCAGTATTTTCACCTCCCAGTAAGGCTGAAACATTGGCAATGGTAGGGGTACAGTGGTTGCTAACCTATCGAAATAGTTCTCTTTAATCTGTGGAGACCTGCAGTCACCTGATGATTCTCAATTTAATAGAAAGTTTCCGGAAGCACTGATGTGGTTCTCCGGATCAAATCACAGCTGGGGTAGAGTCATTATGATAGTGATGGCTCTGAAATCACGTCAGCTGAAGTGATGGCAAACACCTATAATCCCAGCACTCTGGGCAGCTGAGTCAGAAGGGTCCTGTCTGAGCCAAGCCTGAGAAACTTTAGTGATTCAGCAAGAGTGTTTCTCAAAATAAAAAAAGGACCCAGGGATACAGCTCAGTATGAAGGCCCTGGGTCGACTTCCCACTACTGGAAAAAAAAAATCACATCCACAATTTCTTTCATATCTTGTTTTTTTTTTTTTTTTTTTGAGATAGGGTCTTACTGTGTAGTTCAGGCTGGCCTTGAACTCAGAATATAGCCCAAGCTGGCCTCAAACTTACAATGATCCTCCTGCCTCAGCCTCCCAAGTGCTGGGATTATGGGGTTGCACCACTACACCTAGCTACACATCAACAGTTTCTTTTAATTTCTTTTTCTCCTTTTGGTACCGGAAATTGAACTCAGGACCTTGCACTTATGAGGCAGGCATGGGAGCCACTGAGCTACATCCCCAGCCCACATCAACAATTTCTAAATAATATCATTTCAACAATTTGAGCATGAGTTGAGTTTTACCTTATGTTCTTTGGTAACGTTCTAAGGATGTATGATTACATAGGTAAGTCACTTTGATTATGGAGCGAATAAAAACGTGTTTAAAATTTGAAGCATATACACCAATATAAATTTCTACGACCATGCCAGTCGCAAAGTGTTTTACATAGCACCTCTCCTTCCCACGTGTCCAGTAGGAAGGCCCTGCACCAGAGACGAATGACAGGCGGAGGGACGCTGTCCCCTGGGGAGTCACTCCGCGTGTTAAACGCCGTCTTCCAGCCAGAGCTATGCCTTCTGCAAGCCAAACATTACGTTAACGCCCAAAGTCGCTCTGGAATGCTGCGGCTTCCTGGGGCAGAGGGACAGCAAGGGCTAAAGAAAAAGACAGTAGAAGGGCTGGGGACTTGGCTCGGTGGTTCTGCCGCCTGCCTGGCAAGCTCAAGGGCCTGAGTTCAATCCCTGGTAACCCCCTCAAAAAAAGGATACTCAGGGGATGTGTGGAATAAGTCACTGGGATGAGGCAAGAACGTAACTTCTATCCATATTCACTTTTTATTTTAAAATGTAATAATTTGTCTTATACATTGATAGCAGCATTTGTGCATAACTTACGAACACACACACACTGAAGTACATGCCCAGTACCATTTATCTAACCCTGCGCCATTTCTGGAAAGAGAGCAGGGAAGAAGTCAGATGTGGGCTCTGGAGCCCGACAGCCGGCGTTCACGTCCCCGATCCACTCGTTCTGAAGCTCTCTGCCCTCGGGCGAGGGACGTCACCGCAGAGGTCTACAGAATGGACCGATAGCAGCTGTCACTTCAGAGGGGTGAAGTGAGGACAGACAAGTCAGGGTGTGTTTAACGCTGCGAGTGACGCGTGGTGCCTGACAGATAAGGGCTCCGTCACTGTGAGCCGGGCACAAGTGCTGAGAGCTGAAGTACTGAGGTAGGGTAAGGAGTGAGCTGGGATCCTGACCGTTTAACCACAGCCCACCGCGCTTGGAGCTGTTCCCTTCTCGGCAGTTCTGGTTAAAAGCAGCAGGGAGCTCACAGTCCCGCAGGGAAGGAATTACACTGCAGAAGGCGGGATGGCCACTGCTGTCCCACCTCCCACAGTGCTTCTGAGAAGGCCAAAAGCTGAAGAGAGCGATGGCTATGGAACCCCGTCGCTGGGCTGTCAGCCTGGCGGCCACAGGCCACCAGGAGCGGCACAGACACGCCCTCTAGTGGAGCAAGCAATCCCAGCAGCCAAGGTCAGGCGAGCTTATTGCCTCACAGGGCACTGGATGACAAGTTGAGGGCCCTGGGAATGGAAGAGGAAACTGAGGCAAAGACGCCGCCCCAAAGTGGTAGTGTCAGAATCCAGGACCTACTCTCTTTCCCAAACTGTCCCAGATCGGGACACGGGATACTTCTTCGAGGTCTGGGACTGTGCCGGGCCCCAAAGAACGGCATGACATCCCTGCCCCTGTCCAAATGCCTGCAGCTCCGCTGATTACTCGGATAACCCAGGATGTCCCGTCACATCGGCCGCTCAGTGGGCAGAACCACTGGAGAATCTCCGGGTGTTGCTTCCGGTCCTGGTTCTTCCTGCAAGAGCCTGGTTCTCTCTTCCTCCCAGGGCTCCCGGTCTCCAGCACACTCCATCACAGGAAGGTTCTCCACACCCAGACGGACCCCAGAAGATAAAGGACTATTCCGTGCGAATATTCCCCCAACGGGGGTAGGGGCTTCAGCCATCCGTCAAACTCAGGAGTGCGGGGTTAGGGTATTCCGGGTTCTCAATGACCCCAGGCCCGAACTTGAGCTCCAGAAAGCGGCGGTAGTTATTGGGGGCCTGCGCCACAAAGCCGGCAAAGGGTAGGGGCACCAGAGGCTGCAGGAAGTGCTCGGGGAACTCGACGTCCTGCCGGTGGTCCAGCCACGTGTCCTTGGTCATGACCCCGTTGCGGGGGTAGAAGGGCCACAGGTCCACGTGCAGGTGGTTCGTCTCGCTGTACTGCACGCGGAAGAAGTCGCCCTCCACGGCCTTCTCCCACACGAAGCCGCGCTCGTCCACCACCGAGCCGGCCTCGGCCCCCCGCAGCTGCTCGCAGTTGCCCACGTCCTCCAGGTAGATGCCCAGGTCCACGTCG